TTCTTCTTCTTCCTCTTCCTCTTCTCCCTCTTCTTCTTCTTCTTCTTCTTCTTCTTCTTCTTCTTCTTCTTCTTCTTCTTCTTCTTCTCCCTACTTTTCTGAGCCGAGAGTATATTGGAAACAACCTATTTACCTTCAGTAGATAGGAGTAACGCCTGCGCCACACTACCCTCACCCAGACCCTAAGTATGAAAATACACTGGGTATGTTTTTGTTGTTGTAACTTCAACATTAGAGAAATATTAAAAATAATGACTTTAATTCACAAATCTTCAATTTATACAAGCTTTATTTTTTAAAGTGAAATTCATATACAAACACAAATAACTTTCATTTTTGTTAAATTTAATAATCAAATAGGAGTACATTTTTTCAACTAGAATTCAATTATTGTCCAAATGCTAGCGAATATTTTTAATAAGGTAGACCGATAGTCCCAAACTCCACAGGAAGGAAAGACATAAATGTGTTAAACTAAAATACAAGAGAAATCACAGATCATCATTCCATAATACACTCAGCCACCTTTATAATACACACTTCACTTTAACTTACCAGTGTCAGCAAAGATTCCAACCCTCCAACCAATCTCTACTAGTATTATTTTTTTTTCCCAATATATTTATATATAACTACCCTTCTCCTTCTTACACCAACCGGTACGGCACTATATCGCCGCCGGTGGTACCCCATCTCCGCCCTTCCACCTCCCCAATCCCAAGTAAGCATAAACAAAAGGAAAGAGAACCCACATTTCTCCTTCATTTACCTACCAAATACCAACATATCTGAATTCAATTATCAAAATTAAGAATCTTTTTTGCTCTGCTATGTGGGTTACAGACTAAAGGGGAGCTGGAATTTCTTCTGTCCAAGATGCCGTGTTGCAAGAATTCAGTCAAATGTGGTCGTGGATCGGTTCCAGTGTACTTAAATGTATACGATCTAACCTCAATGAATGGCTATGCTTATTGGCTTGGTCTTGGTGTTTACCATTCCGGTGTTCAAGGTCAGTAACTCAATACCCATTTTGTTTATTCTTGAAATTTTCATCTTTTCCTACTGATTTAACTATATCAGATCTGTGCTTCAACTCTGGGGTTGTTACAAGAAATCTGCTTTATATATTGTAGTAAAAATACAATCTTTTTACTTAAATCAGCTCAATTATTGTCAGTAGCGCATGGTAAAAGATTTACAGTACGTCCTATCCTTCCCGACCTCACTTGTGGGATTACGCTGGATTGTTGTTGTTGTATGGTAAAAGATTTGTTAATAGTTGGCTTATAACAAGGTAGAAATGATATCAAGTAGACACACTAAAGAGCTGTTATTCAGGAATTAGCCTGTGTATCGTAATTTTTAATTTTTCAGTTTAATTTTCCGGAAAGTATCATGAATTGTCCCAATGTCAGGACAAAATAAGTATTGATTAATCTCTAAATAACATCCATGAGAATGACTATATGTGCACTTGCCCCTATGCTTTATAAACTGTGATGATTAAAGTACAAATATTTTTGCTTAACTCCGCTCAATTATTTGTCAATAGCATATGGTAATTAAAGATTTGTTAATGGTGGATTATGGTTAGCTAGTTCATGGAGTTGAATATGCATTTGGAGCTCATGAGTATCCAACAACTGGAATTTTCGAAGGGGAGCCGAAAAAATGCGAGGGATTTATTTTTAGAAAGACCATTTTAATTGGATGGACAGAAAAGACACCTGGAGAAGTAAGAGGAGTAATGGAAGAGCTTGCTGATAAGTACAAAGGAATTGCTTACAACCTTATTACCAAGAACTGCAACCACTTTTGTAATGATGCTTGTATTAAACTCACCAGTAATCCAATTCCCAGTTGGATTAATCGACTCGCTCGGATTGGTAAGATTTTCAGATTTCCTGTAAGATTTATTGCTTTCACTTATAGTACACCATATTAGGAATCTTTTTAATTTAGTTAATAATTGTACGTTAGTGTTAGGGTAAGCTTGAGACTTTATAAACTATTTCTTGTTTTAGAAGAATTTTTGAGTATTGGGATAGAATGAATGTAGCGGAACAGAGTTAAAGAATTCATATAGTTAAAAACTGAAAACATAGGGCAGCCAGTACATAAAGTATCCCACATTCGCGTAGGGTTCTAGGAAAGGTTGCACCCAAAAGGATGTGAAATAGACATGTTACCTTAATACAAGTATTAGTAGCTACTTCCACGACTCGAAATCGTGACCTATCAGAGACAATTTTATTGTTGCTCAAGACTCCCTTCAAGTTTAAATTGAAGGGCCACCCAATGCACTAAGCTCCTACTATGCGTGGGGTCTGAGGAAGGGCCGAACCACAAGAGTCTATTGTATGCAGCCTACCATGCATTTCTGCAAGAGTCTGTTTCCACGGCTCAAACCGTGACCTCCTGGTCACATGTCAGCAACTTTACCAGATGAGCCAAGGCCCTGTTTAAATTGAAAACATAATTAATTGATATTAGGTCGGACTTGTTCCAATACGTTACTGTCGTTTTCTCAACATGTAGTTGAATCAGGAAGTTTCTTGCTAGTTTCATAGAAGTGTCAATGCTTGTTCTTGACTGTAGACAAGTTGACAACCCACAGTAGGAAGATATATGCAGTACTTGTCCAGGAACTTTCTTAGAAATAAACGCTTGTCGCAGCCATTGCGGAAGATTCCTACTGAGTTCAATGGCTGACAAACTCAGGGCATTATTTTGTGCAGCCATTGAACTAATATTCCGCATTTAATTCTACGGGTTAATGGTTCTTAAGTTTGAAATTTTATGTTGTCCAACTTGCTGGTATGAGAAATTTAATAACTTTAGTAATTGTTGGTGTAGGTTTCTTTTGCCATTGTATCATTCCAATGAGCTTAAAGTCTACTAAAGTTCGGCATCATCGGATGGAGGACAAGGTAAGTGAAGGGGACAGCAAGAAACCTCAGAGCAGCTCGAATAGTCAGACTCCCACTTCAAATCCATTGCCAGTTTCTTCGCAATCTCCTCCAATTGCCAAATCCACAAGTAATAAAAGCAAAAGCTCGCTGCCTCCATCTTCGCCATTGATATCAGATTCAACGTTGCCGTCGTCGCAATCTCCTCCGATTGCCAAATCCACGAGTAATAAAAGCACAAGACCGCAACCTCCATCTTCGTTGATATCAGAATCAAGTTCATCATAGAATTCCTTGATGCAGCATGGCCATGCTTTATTTGATTCACCAGTGATTCTTTTGCTCGTTGCTTCAAAATGGAGTGATTACAACCACTCGAGAAGCTTCACAAATTTTGTATCCAAAAATGCTTTCAATTAACTGGGATCGACCTTTCTTTGTGCAGTGAAACTGACTGTTGTTTAACAGATAGCTAACCCAATTTTAGAGTGAAGTGAAACTTAATCTAAAAATATGCAGCAACAAAAAACTAGCATAATAACCTTTTATCTACTAATAGGCTTATTATGATCATTTTAAAGTTAGTTAAACTATGACACTGAACATGAATTGAGCAGAATAAATATAGAAACATATAGTGCCAATCCAACTAATATAGAAGTAAGACATAATTGATTGATTAACTACTCGACCATTTATGCACTTGATTATCTTGGGGACAGTGCACGACACGCTTGAAATGAAGGGTTGGAGGGAAAAAAAACAAAAGTGTTATAGTATGAGATCGAAGCCTGGGAATATTATGTGCTTTTCCTTTTAGAGAGCCATTATTTCTTTTTCAGCACCTTTGGACAAATCAGACCACTTTTTTCTTTTGATTTTTCCAAATCCGTCACATTTGTCTCCCAAACTTTATCGTGATGAACCAACTTTTAGTCCTAAAGGCTGATACTATACCTGAGAGGTGACCATAAATTGACCAAAAGACAACAGTAATCACTGTATTACAAAATTCCAACCAAACTTTTCGTGATGATATTCCATTCATCATACCCTCTTATCTTATATGTTGAAATTTTCTCGCATGGTACTATACACATGGGTATCTCGCTTAGAAGTTAGGTTCAATTGAACCCATAACTTTCGCTCATACTACCCCGTAGTTTTACCTAAAAATCATGAAATATGTTAAATAATAAATTTTGAACCCATTAAATTAGATGAGAATTTGGTAGAATTGCGAATCTAACCTATAAAATTTAAATTCTGGATCCGCCGCTGGTACTATAAGCATGTAATGAACAAAAAGAAAGGAAAAGAGGACAAAAGCTATTAATGGAAATGAATGAAGTCCAAGATTAATGACTCTGCTTCTCCTCAGATATTCCTATTGAAAACGGATAAAGAAACATCACAAGATCTAAATTATTTACAAGGAAAGGATGCACAACACTGTAAAAGCAACAAAAGTAAATGACTAGCACTCAAAAGGAAGAGCGTGGAGAGGGGAGTTTTCTAATTACAATATACAGGCGACGATGAACCAGAAAACCCTGCAGAGGGTGATAATATATCAACAATGACTAGATCAACTCAAATTTTCATTAAATGTACAAGTGTAAAAATTTGCTGTAAAGCAGAATTGATGAATAGGGAGCAATGACACTAGCACAGAAGATGAAAATGTAAAAAGAGAGCATCCGCCAAATAGCATACACTGACCTGTCAGGGACCGGTAACTTAAATGGGAACCCATAGCAGGTTAACTGACTTAAATATGGTACCATACCAGCTTAGCTGAACCTCATTTTTTGACTTAAATATGGTATCATGTATTTGCAGGAGTCTCCTGCCAGTAAAAATATGCTTTATCAGTTTCAATGAATAATTTCAATTCACTTCTGCGCTATGCAAGAATATGAAGATATTCAAACCCCCAGGTGACAAGGAAACTATTGATCAGCATTGTTGAGCAACCATACCGATTGGGGATCCAGCTAAACAGGCTTTGTTCCAAATACGATGGAAGATGCCGCTTATCAGTATCCAGCCTTCTTTCTGATGGTACATTAACAACTTGATAACATTGACCTAGCAGTGCAGCTGGCTTCTATTTCCATTCAGTTTTTCTACCATCCAGTAACATGGGCTTCCCATATGTCAAGTCAGAAACACAAAAGAACATTTGTACAAGGATGTACTCTACATTCTCAAAATTTATTACGTAGTTGGTATATACTCTTCACACAAGTTGCTCTGACACGGGTGCGGATCATTTGAGATGCAAAGTTTAAGCTAGCGTTTGGACATAGATTGAGTTGAAACTTGAAAAAATAATTTTTGAAGTAGTTTTGAAAAATAATTTTTGGAAGTTGAAATTATGTTTGGACATGCATTTTATTTGAAAAAAAATTGAAGTTTTGTGAGTAGGAACTTGATTTTCAACCAAAATCTACCATAAACTAGATTTTGAAAACTTGAAAAATATTTTCAGAAATTTTTCAAAAACAAATCACTAATCTATGGACGAACAATGTTTTCAAAATTTTTTTGAAAAAAACTTGCCAAAATGTATGGCCAAATGAGGGCTAACATTCGGGAATACAGATCCTAGAATCAATACGGGTGCGAGGATCCGACTAAAAATAATTCAAAAAATAAAAATATCCCTAAATTATGAGAAATACTTACATAGCTTGTAAACAGTGAATTTCTTTTTTTCCCTCAAGTTGTAGGCGTGATTTTCTTCCATTCTCGAATTCTCCTACAAGTTACACAAAGTATATAAAACATAATAGATATCACATAACTACATAAGTAAAAGAGTTAGATATATAAAGATGAGGAAAATATACCTTTTGAGGCTTTTACTGGTTTGTCGAAGAACTTGACACGAACATAGAGAATAAAAGACGTAATTATCATTCCTCTCCCAAGTCACAAATTATAAAGAGTTAGTCATTCTCATTAAGTCAATCAAATAAGTATGAGCACCAAAAAGGCAAAAATAAACTACAATTGCAACCACCATTTTCCCGAACAAAGTTACATTAACGTTGAACTACATAAACCAATAAAAAGTAGGAAAATATAACTATAAAGTTTTAGCATTTGAAAAATAACATTTAGCATTCTTCCTCAATATTTTCAAGATCAATTTCTTGCATATACTCAACCTCTTCTTCAAAGATGACTCCTTTTAGTTGAGGTTCATCTATTGATAAGTCAACTAGATCATCGATGGCTTCATCAACATCAAAACGAACTCCACCTAAAGCAACATTAAAATGATTTAAAATATAAAATCAAGAGAACATAGATTATAGACATACCCACATTCCAATACTTGCTTGGCCACTTATATATTTTTCTTTTTGACGAGAAAGCAAGTGAAGATTGTAGTGCACAAAAATTAGATCTTCGGCTCTTAAAGTCTCTAACTAGTTTTTTTTGATGATATGGATCAACGAATAGGTGATCCAATTCCTTTTTGCAATAAGGAGAAGAAGTCGGTTGTAAAAGCAATTTGTAAGACAAGCTTGGCAAAAGTGGAGCATTTACACCAAGCCCACCAAGATAGAGGCACCTCATACATCATAGCCTCATCCACATGAGGTTCACTAAAAAAACACTCCCACTTGCGAATGCTCCATACTCCAAAGACGCAGATCACTTGGATCTTTGGAAGCATTTAACCCTATTTAAGGAAATGTTTCTATCCTCATTGGGAGCAAACCTTTGAACCCCATTGCCTTTTCTAAGCCATGATTCGTGGTAGTATTTTGGTACCAATGAATGTGCCATACAATGTAAAGGAATGCTACTCCTAGCAGCAAGAATTTCTTGAATTGTATCAAGAAAGTCCGATTGCCCGATAATAAGTTCATTTCCCTCTTGCTCAAAGATAATTGCCTTCACCTTTTCGATCATTGCATCCCGCATATCATAAACAAGATGCAACTTTGGAGCATCAAGATTGGCACTTCTAAGCATAGACACAATTGGTTCCGTAAACTTTAAAAGTACTCAATCTTATCCCACCATCCGTCATTCATTACAAGTGATTTTATTTCATTCATTTTAGCTTCAATCAATTTATCTCCCTTATAATTTCTCCAATTATCATCCATCACCATTCTTTCTGATGATGCTTTCACTTAATGAACACGACTAGCCATGACAACATGAGATGCAATTCTCGTTTCGGCAACTTTCAACAAAGACAACGCCAAATGCTTTTGGAAAAGAGCATGAGCCATATCATGATTCAACACAAAAAGTTTCAAGCTACTCACTTCACCAATCAAATCTAAAATCCATTTGTAATTTACAAATTGAATTGATTTTTCGGAAGGTTGGCACATACTTTTTTTTAGTGCAAGGTTCAAACAATAAATAACATATGGTGTCCCAAATATATGTGAAAATGTTTGCTCAACCGTAGAACCGGCAAGCTTCATATTACTTGCATTATCGGTGATAACTTGAACAACTTTACTTGCACCAACCTCTTCAATTGATTTAATGTTGTTCAAGTAATCGGTGCACTCTATTTCTGGGATATTACATTTGTGTGGTGGTTGTTTCAGTTGCTGCTCCCACTAAAGCTTTTACTGTCTTTTGCATGGTTAAGTCATTCATTTCTTCCAGGATTTAGTATAATACGTCTGCGCAATGGTTTCATATGTGGGATGTACATGGTAATCCTAGACTAAACAAGGCTGAAGGAAAATATTTGTTGCATTGCATATAACCTGGATAAATAGTTCTATTTAGGTAATTGTTTAGGGCACATTTTCAGATTTCCCCTACTACTAAAACGAAAAAATGAATGGATGAAGAAATTCAATCTAGAGAATCTCTTACCTTTCCCCAAACATGGAAAACTACGTGTATTGCCCTTGTGCCTTGCTATTAGCCAGTCTTGCTCTTACCTGTGTCAGCATCTTGTACTTGATGCTGTTGCATTTTAGCTTGGTTTGCGTGTCTATACAATAATAGCATCATTTGGCATAATGCATTTTCAGAACCAGGTTTCCTTTTATAGTCGCTTGAGTTATGCTTGAGAATTTTGTGTCCTTGCCTTTCTTGCTTGAACTACTCTTTTTTGTTACAGGAGGGCTTGCTGTTTGGCATTTAGTTGTGGGATAATTACTTTAGACTTCTAATCCATGAGTCTCTGGTCCTATCTTCTATGATGTTTGAAGCAGGACATACAAATTCCAGCGCAGGTGCTGCTGGTTTATGTTTGATGACAGATCATGTGATTAGGAGAATCTTTTTTTTTTAAAAGGAAGGAAAAGATCAAGTGATGAGGAGATATTCTTCTGTTATATGAGGTGCAAATGTAATGCCTCCCCTTTGAGTTCTGCCGTAGTGTAAAACTAATGAACTCTTAGCATGTTCATTTCTGTTTTAAGTTGATGATGGTAGGTTTTTTCATCATTTCAGCAGATTGTCAGAGGTTTGTTACTGTTCATTTTTTGTTGTAAGTAATGTTCTGACTAGGTTTGGCAGTTGATCAGGAGTTAAATTTAATTTTGGAAATTGTTATGACCTTGCTTTGCTCAAAGACTTGGAAAGTGAAACATAAGGGGTCTCTCTCATGGCTTCTTACAAGTAAAATATCCTGATATACCCTTAACCAGTGAAAAAATCTGATGGTTCTCATCTCAAGGTTTTGAAGAGGTTGGTGCAAGTAATGTTGTTCAAGTTATCACCGATAATGCAAGTAATATGAAGCTTGTCGTTTCACGGTTGAGCAAACTTTTTCACATATATTTTGAACACCATGTGTTGTTCATTGTTTGAACCTTGCATTAAAAAGTATGTGTCAACCTTCCGAAAAATCAACTCAATTTGTAAATTACAAATGGATTTTGGATTTGATTGGTGAAGCTAGTAGCTTGAAATTTTTTGTGTTGAATCATGATATAACTCATGCTCTTTTTCAAAAGCATTCGGCGTTGTCTTTGTTGAAAGTTGCCGAAACGAGATTTGCATCTCATGTTGTCATGACTAGTCATATTCATCAAGTGAAAGTATCATTGAAAAGAATGATGATCGACGATGATTGGAGAAATTATAAGGGAGGTAAAGCGACTGAAGCTAAAACGCGTGAAATAAAATTCCTTGAAATGAATGACAGATGGTGGGATAGGATTGGGTACTTTTTAAAGTTTACGGAATCAATTGTGTCTATGCTTAGAGGTGCCGATCTTGATGCTCCAAAGTTGCATCTTGTCTATGATATGTGGGATACAATGATCGAAAATGTGAAGGCAATAATCTTTGAGAAAGAGGGAAAGGATATTATTATCGGGCAATCGTACTTTTTTGATACAATTCAAGAAATTCTTGCTACTAGGTAGAATAAGAGTAACACTCATTTATATTATATAACACATTCATTGGTACCAAAATACTACGACGAGTCATGACTTAAAAAAGGCCATGAGGTTCGAAGGCTTGCTCCTAACGAGGATAGAGAGATTTCCTAAAATAGGGTTAAATGCTTCCAAAAATACTTTAAATATTCAAATGATCTAAAACAAGCGTCTTTGGAGTATGGAGCATTCGCAAGTGAGAGTGGTTTTATTAGTGATTCTCATGTGGTTGAGGCTATGATGTATGAGAAGCTTGTATCTTGGTGGGCAAACCATGGTGTAAATGCTCCGTTTTTGCAAAGCTTGGCTTACAAATTGCTTTCACAATTGGTTTCTTATTGTTGCTAAAGGAATTGGAGCCCTATTCGTTGATCCATAACATCAAAAGAAATAAGTACGAGACTTCAAGAGCCGAAGATCTAGCTTTTGTGCACTACAATCTTCGCTTGCTTTCTCGTCAAACAGAAAAATATACAAGTGGCCCAAGCACGTATTGGGATGTGAGTATGTCTATAATCTATGTTTTCTTGATTTTATATTTCTTTTATTTTTAAATCATTTTTATTTTAATTTTGCTTTAGGTGGAGATCGTTTTGATGTTGATGAAGCCACCAGTGATCTAGTTGACTTATCAATAGATGAACCTCAACTAGAAGGAGTAATCTTTGAAGAAGAGGTTGAAGACGTGTAAGAAATTGATCTTGAAAATATTGAGGAAGAATGCTAAATATTATTGTTCAAATGCTAAAATTTAATAGTTATACCTTCCTACTTTTTATTAGTTTATATAATTCAATGTTAATATAATTTTGCATGGAGAATGGTGATTGCAATTGTAGTTTATTTTTGTCTTTTTGGTGTTCATGCTTATTTGATTGACTTAATGAGAATGACTAACTCTTTATAATTTGTGACTTGTGAGAGGAATGATAATTACGTCTTTTATTCTCTATGTTCATGTCAAGTTCTTCGACAAAACCAGGAAAAGCCTAAAAGGTATGTTTTCTTTATCTTTATATATCTAACTCTTTTACTTATGTAGTTATGTGATATCTATTATATTTTATATACTTTATGTAACTTGTAGGAGAATCCGAGAATGGAAGGAAATCACTCCTACAACTTGAGAATAAAAAAGAAATTCACACTTTACAAGCTATAGGTAAGTATTCCACAAAATTTCTCATAATTTAGACATATTTTTAAATTTTTATTTTTTTGAGTTTTTTTTAGCTGGATCCCCGAACCCGTGGTGGTTCTAGGATCCGTATCTCCGAACCTTAAAATTTACATCTCAGAGGATCCGACCTCTAAATCCGCACCCGTGTCAAAGCAACTTAGTTGGCAAAGTCCTCCAATTGACACCAGAATGTATGGGAATGCCATTAGGGAGCCAACCAACTCTAAGTCTACCCGTGAACAATGCTGCATTAATCACTATAGTGGCTTCCACTTATAGGTGTTTGTTGCTTGATATCCAGATTCCAGCTCAAAATCTTCAGCCTTTTCTTTTGTCTCCAGAAACACACTTTTATTCTCTTGGTTAATCAAAATGGACCCATGTGTGGCTAAGCCGAAACTACCATGTTCATATCCAATAAAAACTGAAGGAGTCTCTCTAGTTAAGGGTGGTGAGGGTGGGAAGGGTTAGCTCTCTACATTTTATGCTGCAAAAGTGCTCTTACGGATTCTTTACTGAATTGTCCTTTTCTATCGGCATTCCATCATACCTACTCCATTCTGCCGCCAGAAACATCAGACTCATTTCTTTCATCTTGGCCGGATGCCAAGGATGAGTTGATAGGAATGTTAAAATTCAGCTGACTTGACCAAGGTGGTTTCTTAGTCAGTATCAGAAAAGTCTCCTCCGTCCATATCCACAGGGTATTCAAATCCTAGAGACACATCATCTATTGAGATATCATTTGCATCATCTTCATTCAAACCAAACGTGCTAAAATGCTGAAAGAATTTCGTTTTCTGTTTGATGAATCAAACAAGATAAACCCGCTGAACTTCGCGGAGTTAGGTGGTCCAACGTATTTCAGGCAAAAGTAGGAGCTTACGTCAAACCTTTTGGTCACGTGTTAACCGCATGAAGGAGATGATTCATTCTATACCCTTGGCTATATTTGACTAAGACCCAGAGAATATCTCGAAGTGGATATACGAGCATCATGCCGCTTATCTCTTTATTCAAAGGTTTAACTTCTTCACACATTTTTCTTGAAGACTGCTCGCTGCATTTTTTCTAGGTTCTAGATTCCAACATTAAAGTTACTTCAGCTGGTTTTTTCATCTTCATATACAGCCACTCATTAAACTTAATGAAATCATCTAATAATATAAACCCGATTCCCTAATATCAGTTTCCTCTAGACAAACCCATAACCAAACCTCCAACAATAGAATCTTTAATTCTGCTACAATGTCTAGCCATAATTTGGTCGCGAGTCCTCAAATCAACTTCCATTCCCAAATTGAATCAAAAAGACTAGCTTCTTACACTTCTTAACTACTTTCTCACAAATGCCTTGTAACCATATTACAGGATAAATTATCATAAGCATATGTTCCACTTCGGAATTAAGGCTTGTTCATCGTTCCAATATTTGCGAGTACTCTTTTTAGCCTTTTTTTGCCTGGTCATAGACTTGTATGTCAGTATAGGCACAACTGCAATATCTAGAGATTCCATAGTTCTAAACAATCTCTAATTTGAGTTAAAAGTAAATTATTTACTTCGATTGAAATCCGACGGTACAAAACAGAATGAATATAGAGGACTTTAAACTAAAAAGGTATACTAGTACTAGTTTTTGTTGAGCCCTTAATCTTTGAAAGCTAGCTAAATAACCAGCAATAAAATCGAGTAATAAAGCGTGACGAATGTAATAATTTGTAGTTCGTTCAATGCATATAGACTGGACGAAAAGAAGAAGCAAAATCCAAAGCTTAACGAACATTTTGCACAATTAAACATGAAAATTGAGGAAGTGACTGACCTATCGAAGAAACCAATTGGGGCTTCTGAATTTTCCTTCTTTTCATGAATCTCGCAGAGACGGAGGAGATAATAGTGATACGAGGCTTCTAACACACATTTCATTGTATTTTTTCGTCTTCCCGTCTCCCGCCGGGCAGTAGGGCCGGCGACGTCACATGTAGAGTACGTGACGCCTTATAAAAAACGAAAAATAGATAATCGTGCTTATGTGCCATTTCTGAATTTTCTATGAAAAAGTAAGAAATTATGGCAGAAACTTTACCAAAATGCCATATTGGTACATAATGCAACATAATGTAGTAGTAAATTATTTTACATAAATTTTGTTTATAAACTATTTTAAAATTTATTTTTGTAGTATTATTAAGTATTTGAGGAAGAGTTTAAGTTATACACTAAGAGGTCGTTTGGTAGAGTGTGTTAGAGAAAATAATGCATGCATTAGCTTTGTGTATTAGTAATGCTTTGTTTGGTACACTTTTTCCTCCTATGTATAACTAATACAAGCATTAATTATACACTCTATTTGGTATTATTCTATGTATAGCTAATGCATAGAAAATCATGACATTAGCTATACAAAGTCTATTAATACATGCATTAGCATGGCTAAAGACAAAATTATCCTTAAAGTCCCTTAAGTTAAAGACTATGGAGGGCATTTTTGTAAACAATTAAATTTCTTAAAAATTATGCAATGCATTTTAATTTTTAATATACCACACCAAACAATGCATAAGAAATAATCTCTGTATAACTAATGCTTGCATTACTAACCCATGCATTACTAATGCACCTTATTTAGCATTATTCTTATACGCCCTACCAAACGACCCCTAACATTGTAACACTACATATCAAATTATCAAAAAGATATCCATATGTTATTCTTCACAAAATTTGAAATTTTAAAATTAAGACAAGTTACCTTAATAGTGTAGAAATCTTTTAAATCATCAATATATATAAACAACAAAAATTTCTTAGCAATCATAAGGGTGATTGGGTAGCTTTCCTAAGAATTAATTGCTTTGTTACATGGACTAAAAATTGCAGTGAGACACAACATCAGACGGAGTTAGCCCTACGCTTACGGGTTCGGCCGAACCCAGTAGCTTTTGAGCAGACTCTGTATTTATCTTGTGAAATTCATGAAATATATACAAATTATTATTTTAGAACCCACTAACTTAAAAGAGCTAGAATCTCGAACCCATAAACTTAAAATTATGGTTCCGTCTCTGACAACATGACTCCACTCTAAATCAACAGTAATTCAATGAAAATTATAAAAATGATAGAAACATGACACTTGCCTTATAACTTCATTATTTCTCAATGTAGGTTACTGTCTTTGTTTGACTCAAAATACAGATCTTGATTCAACCAATTAGATTTAAATAAAGAAGAGTCAATCTTAGCTAATAATAATATTCAAAAGATAAGGGTTTCAGTTTTATGACAGATAACATGTATATTTGACCGAATGGTAATGAATGTGAGCACAAATAACAGTATTCAACAATCCAAAAAAGTGAAAGATAGCATTAAATAATAATAAATATCAATTATTGGAATTTAAGTAAATAAAAGCGTGTGAGTCACCCGAAAAGGGGTGGGATCCGTGGATATTCTTTCTGACAATGGAGAATCATTGATGAGCCTTAGAACACTCAGGTTATTCTTGGATCAAGTGGAAAAGCTAGACAAAAATCTTAGTAAAAATGGTGTTTTCATATGCTTGTAATATGGTCAGATTCTCTCTATAAAATTAATGTATTTTCTTACAAGTGAATCTCCCTTGTCCCCTATTCTTATGTCTCTTTCTATTTATAGGGGATATATTCCTATAAATCCTAATAGTACAGGTGAAGAGAATATGTGATGACCTTTAGGTCATCACTTGTTTTAGAAACAAATCCTGTGTTCTGATGCCTTAAAACCTCCTTTTTACCTTACCTCGATTTGTGTGCATGGTTCGGACCTATATACAGAAAGCTTTTTATGTGAAAATATGAGAAATAGAAATTTCTAGAGTTATAAGTTAATTTTGGTTGACTTTGGTCAACATTTTGAGCAAACAAACCCGGATCTGTGTTCCGATAATTCCAGGAGGTCCGCATTAAAATATGGGACTTGGGCGTATGCCCGAAAATGAATTCCTAGGTCCCAAGCCTTAGAAATCAATTTTTAAAAGAAATTATTTTGCTGAATTATTTATGAAATAAAGAAAAAAATTAATGTTTGAAACCATTGGTATCAGACCCGTATTTTGGTTCTGGAGTCCGGTACAAACGTGTTAAAGTATTTAAATAATAACTGTGAAATTTAGTGAAAATGGAGTTTATTTGACGTGATTTGGACCTCCGGTTGAAGAGTTATGAACTTTATGTGTTCTTGATGAAAATGATCAGTTTTGAGAGTTTTACATGTTATTTTTATGATTTGATTGCACGAGCAAGTCCGTATGATATTTTTGGGTTAGTGTGCATGTTTGGTTTGGAGCCCCGAGGTCTCGGGTGAGTTTTGGATAGGCCATGGAGTGAAATCTGGACTTAGGAATTGTTGGTATGTTGCAGGTCTGCAGGCTTCGCATTTGCGAAGCCTCGGCTCGCAAATGCGAGAAAGCATCGCAAATGCGATGACCGTCCTGGGCTGCCTTGGTCGCAAATGCGACTGTTCTACCGCAAATGCGATATCGCATTTGCGAAAAGTCCCTCGCAAATGAGAAGGTGACCGGAAATTAAACTAGGTCGCAAATGCGACATTATCTTCGCAATTGCAAAGAGGTCATTTTTCTGAAGGGTTCGCAATTGCGACATCTGTAACCTGCAAATTCATAACTTAGCCGAAAATCTTTCATTTTTCAAACCCTTTCAAAACCAAAACACTCTTGGGCGATTTTTCAAAGACAAGTACTCTTTCAAATCGATTGTAATTTCTAACTCATTTTTATTAATCTTTAACATCTTTTCTTATGATTTCAACTCAAATCAAAGGTTTTCATGGGCGAAAATTGGGTATTTTGGGTAGAACCTAGGTTTTTAAAATTTTGGGGATTTGGACCTCGATTTGAGGTCCGATTTCAAAACAAATTATATATTTGGGTTCGTGGAGGAATGGTAATCGGGTTTTGGTTCGAACCTCGGGTTTTGGTTCGAACCTCGGGTTTTGACCATGTGGGTCTGGGGGCAATTTTTGACTTTTTGGGAAAAACTTTAGAAAACCTATTTTCATGCATTGGGATTTATTTATTTATTTATTGATATAGTTAAGTAACTTGTGGCTAGATACGAGCGGATTGGTGGTGGAATTAAGAGTTAAAGTGATAGTTGAGACTTGAACTGTGTTCGTGGTATCGAGGTAAGTGTTTGGTCTAACCTTAGCTTGAGGGATTAGGAGTTGTGTCCTATTTGCTATGTTATTTGTTGAGTACGACGTATAGGTGTAAGGCCCCGTGAAATTTCTACTCAAAAACTCGAAAGCTCGTAGTACCAAATTAGGAATATGTGTTAGAAATTTGTAAAATAAGCTCGTCGCGGTTCGAACCCTTTTGATCGATCTGTGCATTAAAAAGTTAAGGAATAATGTTTTCCAGAAAAGTGCGTTTCTGCGGTCCATTATACGATCGCATAATAACTATGCAGACCGCATAGTTACCGCTGAGTTAGACAGTTTGATGGTTAATTTGAGGTCAACTATGCGGCCAATTATGCGATCGCATAATCAATATGCGGGCCACATAGTCATCGCATAATCCCCTTGGAATTTTTGTAAGGGGCAGTTCTGCGGTGTATTATACGACCACAGAACAGGTATGCAGACCGCATTTCTGTCGCATACCCGGACAATTTGTTTAGGTTTTTGGGGCCATTTTTGCGGTCCCTTTTGCGGGCCACATGTCCATTATGCGATCGCATCATGTCGGGGCTCCTATTTTCTAACTTTTAAAACCCGACCCCATCCCATTAAAAACACCCCATTAGACCCCTTTTAAGATATTCTTCTGCAAAAAGAGTGAGAGGGGAAGTTCTAGAGGGAGAGGGTGATTTTTATAAAATCTCCACTCAATTCTTGCCTAAACCCTTGAAGATTATCAAATAAAATTTGCTAGGCCTTCACCCCAAGAGGTAAGAACTTGAGCCCTAACCTTTGGTTTCGAAATTCATACTAGAATGAGTAATTAGCTTGGGGGTTCATGGGTATAAGAATGGATTTTCTTGCATGCACAAAAGATAATAGGGTATGGGGAGGTTGTGACTAAAACGATAGCAATTGGGGTATAAAATGATAGAAATCTCTCACAAAAGGGTCCTATAATCACAATGCACACCTAGTGCTTGATAATATGCTTAAATGAGCTAGAATATTATTCATGTCTCTAATTCTTGATTCAATTTGTAATTTTCATAAAATAGATCGAAGTTGCTAGGAAATTTCGAAATTTCTTATAAGGATTTAAGGAAAGCTCTATTGAGGTATGTATGGATAAAATCCCATCCTCTTAGAAATTGAGCCTCCATGGTGCCCGTGCAAATGTTATAAGTCCGAAATTTGATTGATGTAGTACTTGTTGTGTCAAATAAATTGATGTTGTGAAAATATATGTGGAAGGTGCTTCTCCATGTGTTTAATGTGTTATTCTTTGTAAATTAAGGATGTGTGGAGAACATGAGCTATGTGATAAATGTTTAAATGTCAAGTCAAGGTTACATTGTGATTAATATGCCGAACTAGATGAATTCCTCTCTATGCTTATAACCTAAATTACTTTTGTATGTGCCTATGGTCTTAAATGGCAAGGTTAATGTTGAAAATGGGAATAATGTGAAACGTGAGTTATGGAATGTGGCAATTGTGGCCCCAAGTGCCGATGAACTAATACATGTGAAACCAAAGATTGAAGTGACATGATTAAAGGAAAAGGGTAATGTCTTGATGAGACGGCTCAGCCGATCGGGCCGTGATCGGACGCCATGTTATACACACATGGTGGTAATGTATTGATAATTAAAACTGAAAAGTGAGAATGAAATAAGGGTAACATCTTGGTAAGACGGCTTAACCAATCGGGTCGTGATCGGACTCCGCTCAAAGAAGCGGTGGTATTGTGGATGATGATGCGACAATATGGAATGCCCTAACCTAAAATTTCGGAAACCATGTGAACCTTTTATATTGCTGACGTGGTGTTTGTT